TGGAAAAATATGTATGCACCTCTTTTAATGTAATTAATATCGTCTTCACAGCAATTTCTTTGTAACATGAATACATTACTTTTTTATTACTTTATCATTTAATTTCTAGCATGTTTTTTCCAGTTACACTTCAGAAGTTTACAACCATTTCAGCGCAGATCATTGGCTAAGTGGAGACCTAGTTGCTAGTTAATGCCTTCAGTGCATTCTTCTATAGCATAATTTCCAAAACACTGCTGACAGAGTATCATCATTCTTGTTTAGCATTCCTCTAGCCTTGCAAATAGTGATACATTACATACTACAATGGTCATCAAAATTAAAAGATAATGACAGAAATAAAACGTAACTGACACTTAATGAAAAATTATTAATAGAAATTTGTACAAAAGCATTAGTTAACATAAATTACAATGTTTGACAGTTGATTATTTGAAAAATATTGAAATTAAAACTACATTTATGGAAACTGGAAAATGATAGAAAAATTAAGTCATCTCTTGTGGAAAGATTTTTCTTTAATAATAATATGTTTTATGGTCACCTTGGACAGATATGCATACTTCACATCTTGATTTCATAGACTTTATTAAAGTGTTGATAAAGTCATATGGAACTGAATTCTAAAAATGCACTTTTCAGCTCTTGGAGGGTCTGGAGATGAATTTGGTGCATTAAAATTTAATGCCATGGCATTCCATACAAGTTCAAGTTTGGTCAGTAAGATGTCCAATTCATTTCAGTGATATCTTCTGTTGGCAAGTATTCTGACATAATATATGCTCAATAAGAACGAGCATTGCCATCCATGAGCAAAAACTCTAGGTCAACGGCACCCTTAAAAAGCAACTAGGGATTCCAATACCTAAGTCACAGATCTCGAAGCAGTTACAGAGCCTCCTTGAAAGATATACTGCTCAGTGCAGCCATTTGTCCTAATTCCTCCCCAAATCATTATACTGCAGTTGCAGAAACGAGATAAATCACGGACAAGGTAAGTTAAATGTGCTTTTCTCTTTCCAGATCAAAACACATCTACAATCCATGTTCAAATTATATATGGACTTCTCAGTAAACAATACTAGGGCACTTGACCACAGTAACAATACTCAGTTGTCTAAGCTCCAATAAACATGACAACGGCACCAGTTTAAAAGGGCCCATCTGGAAGCTGGAGTGAGTGGGACACAAACAATTTTGGCTTTCTCACATACAGTCCAACCTCGTGAAGCCTTCATGCAGCAGTAGAATGGCTAATTCAAGTTTCTGCGGCAGCTTGAAGGTCTAAACCAAATCAATTGTAGTTGTTCTGCAGTTTCTTCGAGCTGACAATAACAGAAGAAAACATTCTGCGGCAGCTTGAAGGTCTTTTTTTTTTTTTTTTTTTGTTTTTTTTTTTTTTTTTTTTTTTTTTTTTTTTTTTTTTTTTTTTTTTTTTTTTTTTTAAACCAAATCAATTGTAGTTGTTCTGCAGTTTCTTCGAGCTGACAATAACAGAAGAAAACATGTAGTTCTCATTCTTGGTTGCCCTTGACCTCATTGTCTATCAACTGATTCAGTGTTTAGAAAGCGGCTCCAAATTCCTGATACGACACTTTGAGGTATTTCAAATCTTTGACCACTTCCATTTGCAATCCCTTGATTCTACCAATTATTCGCCACTTTTTACTTTCACTTAAAGGATGCCTTTGAGCCATAATTACTGAATACTCATCCCTCTCAGAAACCACATTCACTTAAAACAACACTACAGACCAAAATTCCAATATGTGTCCATTGCGCACCACATTGTCAATTATCAAATTTGCATATTTCCAGTGTTAAAGTATGTGCAGAAGTGCAATTTTGTGTTCAATTGTGTTTAATTAACATTAATAATTACAGCCTGGGGCACTGATTGCAACACTAACTTAATGAATATATTTTTTCTCATTATCCTTTAATTTTGATGAGCAGTGTATTTTGAAAGAGGTTTAGAAAAATTTTTAATATATCAATTTATTATGCCAGTTTTGCTTTGAATTACTGATTAAATTTTGTCACAAAATTCAAATTAGAATGATTAAAGACTCCTACCATATTTATAATAATAGTAATGAACTTAAATTCTTACTATTGCACATGCAAAACTTATGTGAAATTGAAAGAGCAATCTACTTGCAAGCACTGCATAACACTGGCATAAAGAAAAACCTGTGGTTTTAGTTTTAAAATTTTAGCCTTTATAAGGCTGCAAACAGTGACTGATTTGCAAAACTAGAGGTTCGGGATAAAACCTTATACGGAAGACCTCCCCTTCCAGAAACATTTTTTCCTTTTTTTCAGTTCAGAAGTTATCACCAATACAAATTACATAGTATATTTCCCAAAATAATTAATAACTTAATATTTTTCATTGAAATTTAATTAAATAAATATATTTCATCTCTGTTGTACACTTTATGGTTTCAATTTGTCATGTATTATATGAGCTTACCCATTTTAAACCTGTATGTTGTTTTCTTAGAGATTAATAAAACTTAATTAAATCAGAAAGATAAGATGAAAACACTGCTATCATTTGGAATATCAATTTAATAATTACGTATATGAATAGAAAATAGAATAAAGTAATTCATGTTTTTCTCAATACTGAAGAAATCTTTTCTTCTGATGTACTTTTTTCCATCATGAAAGAGAAAATTGCCATCTCTGGCTAATGGACAAAATCAGGGCAGAGGGTAAGATGGTACACAGCACAGGACATATGATTATCAAATATATTATATTTCTATAAGAAAGGCGGCCAATTTTAATTTGCACGTAGGCAGCCAACAGTATAGGATCAGCACTGGAGACAATTTTTCGCTAATGATTACGATAATGACTTTTGAAACAAATAATTTTAAACTTACAGTATGGGTAGAAGATAATATAAAAGCATACCTTTAACACTTTTCCTCGAGTTAAGAAATGCTACTTACACTAAAGTCAAATTTTATGTGCCTTGTACCAGTAAAGTATTTCATGTCTCTCAAATAAACAATTAGCATACATGCCTGAAAGAACTATAAAATGCAAGACAAATATAATTTGAATGAAATCTGCTGTCATTTCCAGGCGTGTATAACTGGAAATATTATAAACAGCAGATAATTAGATAAGGAACTTAGAGGTTTTTAAATGAAGATACCAGACAGCATATGCACATGCATGTTATGGCAATGTGCTCAGAACATAATAAACAGAAGGTGGTTCTTTCAGGAGCCCCAATGCCCAATTTCCCCATTTTCATGAAGAAAAGCACGCTTATGAGCAATTATAAGATGACTTTGGGACTCCAGACCTGAGCCTTGTGAAGCTTAGTTGTAATCAGACGCTGAGTGTTACTTATTTATATAAAGGGTTCACATGTGCAGCAAAAACAGATCAGGAATCAGAGAACTACACAAACTCGGCAATATGCTTTGACTAATACCAAACTCCTTATTGTTTCATTTAGCAATTCTGCGGTAAAACACAGTATTCATTAAGAACTTTTAGTGCATTTTAGTGCAGTTTCTTTCACTGCTGGCAAAGTCCATAAGTGATGTATTAAAACTGAAATGAAAGGGAAAATATCACAGTTTGTTTATAAAAACCATTGGACACATTGAAATGCAACCAAAAAAAAAAAAAAAAAAACCAGCAATGTTGCTTGACTGAAGGATAGTTATCCTGCTAAGGTGGCAGTGATAATATATAAGTACAGCAAACTCTAATGTTCAAGAGTTAATATGTTTCTTGTATGGTTAATTAAATGAATGTATTGTAATTAAATAAACTCACCTAATTCTATAACTGATAAAAAAATTAAATTTAAAAAAATAATAACAAGGAATAACAAAGGAAATTAAACAAATTAGAAATATTGCTTACAGATTCTAGAAAGAAATTTAAATGCAAGAATTCAACAATAAACAACTTTAATTATTAGTGCCCCAAAATAAGCATGTATATTTTCAAATACAGCAACTTATACAATATTTTACACATAAAGTGTTTTATTCATATTGTTATTTGTGATACTGAATTATGCATATAATTTCTAAATAATTTTGCAAAATATGGCTACTTTACATTTAAATTAAATAAAGACGCTAGAAAATATATGATTCTTTTAAGATTATTTAAGACTCTTAAAGTATTTCGCTCCATAAATCTATTGTAGCAATAGACACGGCCCCCTCCCAAAAAAAAATCAGCTTGATAATTTTGTATATATTACACTGCATAAAAGTGCATAATTCAATCAAAATTATGAAATCATTTCAGATGCAAGAATTAAGAAAATTCTTGTCTGAAGTAGCAACAACAATAAGTTAGCAAACTTAAATATTATTACTTTTTTTTTTTTTTTTTTTTTTTTTTTTTTTTACAAAATTGAGGGTGTCAGAAAATTTTTCTTCATTTCTGTAGAAGAACAGTCCAAATATCGGTTACGTTTAAATAGATCTGAATAATAAACACAAATAAAAACAAATACATCAATAATAATAAAATAAAGCGTTGTTAATACATGCACTTCATATTGATTCATTTAGAAAGTTACGATCAGTCGCGCTTCATGATAGTCCTACCTACACCCTATATTAATTATGCCCAACCTTATTTCCATAACCCCTGATGTGATATCAGCATGATATACGGAACTTTCGAAAAGCCTGCTAATGAAGGTTGTAACGTTACTGCTGAATACTGAAAGGTTAGCGAACATTTTATGAAAATAAAATTTAAAAAAAAAAAATGTACGTAAAGCAACACAGAAATTCAAAGATGGAGAGCTGAATTTACATTATTTCTTTACAAAAATTCCAAAGATGTGTATAAATGTCAAAAGTTATTTAGCCTAAAATTAACTCTTTGATTATGGTTATATAAAAAAAATCACTGACAGCTGATATGACTGTAATAAAACATTTCTTCGAAGATAAGAGAATTTCTTAATATTATAAAATTCATAAATTTTGTCAAATACATACAAGATGTAAACAAACGTAGAGATGTTTATGCCGCTACTACTGTTGCCAAATTTCGATCATCTCCGAAACACTTGTTGCAGTTGTTTACAAATTGAAAGAGTTCGAGGCCATATAGTTAAACTGATCATATGTACCCTAGAATACTAACCTCCTTGATACGTACCGATTTGAAACGGATATAACAGCTTTTATTTATTTTATTTATTTTGGCATTTTCTGTTTCTATTTCATCTATGGTTGTGATAAAAATTCCAATTTTGTTTCGTTTTAACACAGGTTCGTTTTAACGCCTACGTGATGGATTTCTAGGAAAATAGAACATTTTTATTTTAGATAATAAATTAGTTGTATCTCTCATGCTACAGCCCACAGCCCCACAACACTGACTCGATTTCCTTTTATGCATACTTCTGTATTTATCAGAATAAAACAAAGAATTAAACACTTCTAAAATAAATTCACAACAGCAACGATACCAAACGCAGCAATACCGGAAACGGAATCTTCCTGGGTGTTCGGGATGTTAGTGCCCTCTTCGTTGAGCTTTGCAGGAAACTTCATATCGGTTAATAATTAAAATCAATAGATACGCTTTCTTCCCAGTCAATCATAATGTACTGTTCATAATTACAGCTGCGTATCCTGTGTAAAAGTATAATGCGCTTTGTTCCTATCTTATTTCTGAATAAAACTGTGCTGCTGAGTCAGGAGAAATATTTGGAGATACTTGCTTGGAAGCGTGTTCGCCATTTTTTGAGATACCCCCTACCAAACGTACATATCTAAACTGAAAAAGAGAGTATTTCAGATACAGAATAGATCTCTTAAACAATATTAAGTTCAGGAAATGGAAAGTGTTTATGGCAATTGGTATCAAAGAACAACTAAGTAGGTTAATAGATAAATTAATAGTATTAGTAGTATGTTAATAGAGTTAGTAGGTAAATAGATCAATTATTAGCAATCAGTAGATTAATAGATAAATTAATGAAGTATTTGAGGTAATTCAAAATTTCTATGAAACAATCCCAGATGATATCAGCAAGTGGAACTGCTATTTAGGAAACACTGAATAGTTTAACTGAAATCTGCTAAGGAAGTCTCTTGAAAGGAAAGAAGTTCAGAACAGTCTGACTGAAGAACTGAACATACTTACTGAATCAAGAGAAACTCCTGCATCTGATCAGTGAAATCACAGCTTGGTTTGTCATATCAAGTAGAGAATGTCTGTTTAGTATTACTGTCTAGTCCAGTGTTTTTAAGAGTATACTTCCTCAGAACAATGCTTTTCCTTAAAAAGAGAGAAAATTGTCGTTGCAGGTAATTAAAACGCGCTGTGGCTAAGATTCTAGACTGCCTCAATAGGACCGCAATCGCAGTGTTTTAAAATATGTAGTGATGAGGGAATTACTTGAGTGCAGTAACCAGAAATTCCTATACTAAATATCTAGGCACATATTCTTCTAAAGTGAATCTAAGTTATTTAGACTTCTAAGATTTTTGGTTATTGTAATATTCTGTCTTTATCTTCGAGGAAATATTGCACTTATTAAAGCAATATTTTCTACTAAAACAAGTACGCGGACAATTGAAAAATCCAAGCTGCTCTTGACGAAAGCCATGCTAGTTGTGAGATAAAAAGTCTGCTGTGAAATGCAGACTGTTTTATGGTAAAGAAAGGCAGAAGTCTGCTGTGTAACATAATTCCGTTAAAGAAATAATTCTCATATGATCTTCGCATTATACAGTCCATGTTTAATGTGGAGGGTCCTGCTACTGTAAAGTAAATACGAGATAAAAGTCGTTATGTAATAAAATCTTTTATATCCCTTTTTTCTATGATGATTAACTCTCATTCCGCTTTAGTGTTGTTCGGGGTCGGTGTTGGCTGTTACACTCTCTGTGACACCCGTTCCTCCTGTTGACCATTCATCTGACAAGTGTGGCCGTAGTTATTGTACTGGTTTTGGAGCCGACCATGCTGTTATTGAAATATTGCCTGTTTAGTCGTATCTGAAGCCAATGAAAGTTAAAGGCGAGCAGGGGCGTAGCTAGAGTTTCCAGCGTCCGGGGACAACTGAAGAATTTGCGCTCCTTTGTGTGTGCCAAGAATGGAAAATATTCATTAAAAAATTTTGTAGCCTCAATTTGGCGCCCCTTGGATACTGCACCTGGAACAGATGTCCCCTCCTTGCCCCACCCTGGCTACGCCACTGAAAGAGCGAGAAATTATAAACTATAACTTAAATGTTTCTGATACATCTGTTGTACCAGAAAAATTATTTCCTTCAAAGCTGGCTACGGTACAACTATCGTACCAGTATTTTCCTTTCCCTCATTAGAGAATTTCTCATCTTTTACTGCTTTAGCTGACAAAAAGATCTCTGGGTGGTCCGCGGTCTTTGTTCTTGGTAGCCGCTGAGCCGCTGGCGTAACATTGTTCCCTATTCTTAATAGTGTGGCTTTATATTGGCAAGGACTAACGATTTTTATATCGCGCCAATGTAGTGAAAAATCAAGTAGAGATATTTCATTACTAAAACATCAGAACCCAGTGTAACGTTTTCATGTGACTATATATATATATGTAAGATAAATTATATGAATCAGAATTATAATATAATTATAAACATTAATTCTTCCTCTCTATTTCTAAAATCGTAATAACTTCTCTGCATTGCGTCATTTCTAGATCACTCTATGGCCCGCGCAGCTCTGATGACGTAATAATTGTAAACCAAAACTTTTCTCTTCGCCGTGCTTCCATCTTTCATAACTACGCACTTCAGCTTTTGCTCTCTACTGTGCTAAGATGTAATTTCGCTGGCTTGCTTTCTCTTTCAACAATATCAAAAATGTAAATCTTCTGTGGAAAGGCACGACTAGAGTACCAAGTGATTGTGGCCACAAATATCAGTTGGAAATAAAAATGGAATTAAAACTGCCTCGACTGCCAAGTTCTTTAGATATTACCAAGTTAGCATTACTAGCATACTACGCAATCATAATCTTCTTTAATATGGGTCTAATCACGCATTTACAGTGTTCCGTCTTTTCCTTTGCTTTTATTATATCAATTAAGCCAGTAGGATAGTTTCCTGCAGCCTGAAACCTCAATTGAAAATTTAGTTCAGTTCTTCAAATCATCGTTTTGTGATAAATCCAAGATAATGTGAAAGAAGTGAATCACCAAATTTGTTTTTTCAGTGTTTAAAAAATAACACATCATTCTTCTGCTGTGGTGTTTTGCAAGTGCTTCAAAAAAAAATAATAATCACGCGTAGTGTTTACAGATTGAAAGTAATCTTTCGATAAATTGAGAAGTTCGAATGCCTAGTGGAAAGGAAATCATCAGTGAATTACTGTTGAGGAATTAAGCATTACAGCGGGTTCAAGGTCGATCTGAGTTAGTGTTTGCAAGTATGTGCGACAGAAATTATTTTTTTTCACTTCCCCGCTTTTTCAACAGCTCAAAAATTATTACATTCGTGTGAATCTAGCTCAGGAACTAAATTATTTAATGTGCTGCGGATTCTATAATTTTCATTTCAACTTTGGTTAAAACTTCTGAAATTTGTTTTGAGAAAATCTGAAATTCTTGTTCATTAATTTTTCTAATTTTTCATAATTATGTGTGAGCAAATTAAGTAACGAATTTTAAGCTATTTAAATTATTCATAGGGAAGGATATTAAGATAAGTTTTTATGTTTTTGAAATTTTGTTGAGAATTTTGAATACGAATTTTATAATTATTCTAAAAATAAAGTAGATGTTAAAAATAAGTGAAATTAGTACAGATAAGTAATACGAAATTATGGTAAATGCATGTTAAAATTTATGGGTTATTGTGTGTTAAGTATAGTATGATGAGGGTGTACTGGTTCCTTCAATAGAGGCCTGTAATTACCTCTGTACAGTTGTTCTTTTACACTCTTCATGCAAAATAATGTTGGAGGTTCTCATTTTATGAGTGTGTGTAATTGTTTTTTCTATTATTATTATTATTATTATATTTTTTTATTATGGAATGTATTAGTGCAGTTCGCGAAGGCCAGTTACCTTATGCAAGGAACGGAGGCCTTTTCAAGTAACCGTCTAGGCACCCTGGGGCCACCAGTGCAGAGAACACACTGGTTAGCTCAAGAGGACAGCCCTATTGATGGATATGTTTGTTTAGAAGTATTGCGAGGCTTCCAGTTTGGTAAAATCTGCAATTGTAAATGAAAGATGATAACGGTGAAACCATAAATTCTGAAAATCTTAATCCTATTATTTATGATGTTAAATTATAACTTATCAGTATGGAAATAAGTATCATACATATTTATGTGCATTACATTTAATTATAAGTAATGATTATATAAAAGTTTATTTTGTGATATTCTGTGATAACAAGAACATTCCCTGAAGAATTATGATTATGTGAACTCTCAGACAAAAAGACTTTTGGACTGAAATGCTGAAAAATTCAATAGGACTCTAAAAATTAAAAAAATTGATATTTATAAATTATACTTTACAGGAAAAAAATTTTATGATTTATGTTTTTTTTTTTTTTTTTTTTTTTACATTTGCTAGTGCTTTATCTCTTTCTCTTTAAAAAGACTTCTCTGTCGCTACGCCTTTTTCTTTTTGAAGGGGGGAATATGTAAGATAAAATTATATGAATCAGAATAATAATATAATTATAAACATTAATTCTTCCTCTCTATTCTAAAATCGTAATAACTTATCTGCATTGCGTCATTTCTAGATCACTCTATGGCCCGCGCAGCTCTGATGACGTTATAATTGTAAAGCAAAACTTTTCTCTTCGCCGTGCTTCCATCTTTCATAACTACGCACTTCAGCTTTTGCTCTAAGGCACGACTAGAGTGCCAAGTGATTGTGGCCACAAATATCAGTTGGAAATAAAAATGGAATTAAAACTACCTCGACTGCCAAGTTCTTCAGATATTACCAAGTTAGCATTCCTAGCATACTACGCAATCAAAATCTTCTTCAATATGGGTCTAATCACACGATCTACAGTGTTCCGTCTTTCCTTGCTTTTATTATTCATATATATATATATATATATATATACAGGGTGATTATAATTAAAGTTTAAGTTTCAAAAC